TCATAATTTTCAAACGAAATTTCGACATGCAACTAACAGCAGAATTTTTACAGTGGATAACGGGTTGAAAACAAAACAAAGGAACATAAAATGGCTGCCACATAGTGCACTGGAGGGTTACACACTTAGATTTTTTTTTGCCGAGATTGACACCACCGAGCAGGCTCGGCATTTATTTTTACTGCGATCTCTTTTTTTTTATTAATCTATTTTTAAATCAAATATTAAAAATCCATCATCACCCTCGCGGCGAACAGAAATAGTTTTTTGCAGTGCTGAAATAATTATTAAAAAAGTAAAACACGTCGCAAGTCATTAATATACATAATAAATAACAGGGGCCCTAATACACTTCCCTGGGGCACTCCAAGGTTATTCCCCACGGGACTGGAAACAGAATCATTAAAAACAGTCCGTTGAGTTCTGTCAGACAAATAGCTTTCAAACCATTTATATGCAGTACTCGTAATTCCAAAGCGCTTGATTGATCTTAACAATAAGGGCCTAGAAATTGTTTCAAAAGCGCGTTTAAGATCCAAAAAAACAGCAACAATCGTATCTTTACACTCCAAGTTATTTTTCCACTTCGCTAATACCAAATTCAACGCGGTTTCACAAGAATGACCTTCCCGATATCCCGATTGTTCTGGTATCAACAAACTATTACTATTTAAATACTCCAACAGCTGGCCTTTAACAACAAGTTCTAAAATTTTCTCTAATGTGTGCAACATGTTGATGGGACGAAACTCTTCGGCTTTAATCGTTCCAGCAACTTTTTGAATAGGGACCACTAAGGATTCCTTCCAAATTTGTGGCACATGTCCAGTTTGTAATGATTCATTAATAAGGTCCAGCAAGATGTGGCCAATGACATGAAAGCAATCTTGAATAACTCTAGCATTAACATTATCTACTCCAGCCGATTTTCTTAATAAAAAAACAAATAACTCTAAGTTCATCTAATGTAATTGGGTGAAAAACTTCAAATCTACAACTACTTAATAGTAGTTGTAGATTTGAAGTTTTTCACCCAATAGTTAATACTGGCTGTTTTATTTCGTCAGGTTCATCGACCAATTCAATGGATTGATTAATCAATGAAACACTGTCTACAAATTAATCATTAAACTTAGCAGAAATTACTTGCTCTGACTGTTCTAATGTGCTTTAAAAGTTATGGACCGCAGTTTGCAATTACTAGGTTTTAATAAAGATTTTAAAATTTTCCATAACTCTTTGCTGTTGTTTTGATGCTGATCAATCTTCCTTTGAACATATTCACAACGAGTTTTCTTTATAGATTGTGAATACTTATTACGCGCGATTGTTTCCTATTCCAATGATTGTCATTATTTGATCTACAAAACTTTTTGTACCATTTGTCCCTTTTCCGTTTAAGACGCAAAAGATCCAAATTGTACCAGCTGTTCGAGTTCTTCAAAGAAACAAACTTTTGCTCAACTAGTTGATTAGTACACGTTTTCAAAGAGTTATTAAGAACAGCTGTATATTCATCTAAATCCACGCTCCTCACAACACGATTCGAAAAAGCTTGCTTCGAATATTTCCTCCAGCATTTCAATTTCACAAAACTATCGTTATCGAGCATTTCCAGCCCAAAACGCAAACCGGTTGGTCATGAGTGTTTCCGATTTGAATGAAACATTTCTCACGTGTTCGCTGCTACTAATGGTTGAATTTTTCATTTAAATTAGATTTTTTTCTCCAGAGTAACTTTTGAAAAGGGCGTATAAAAAAATGGATTATTTTTTTTTCAAAAAATCATAACTTGAAAATTATTGATCTGATCAAAATGGCATATGAGAAAAAGTTTTAGGTAGTTAAATTATCTTTGCGGAAAAAATACACTGAAAGAAAAACTTAGTAAATTAGTATTTAAAAAACGTAAAACGATGATTATCTCAAAACACCCCCCCTTCGATCTTCATAATTTTTTTTTTTCAAGAAAACTGAAAAAATGCCCTAATATTTGGTAAAGAGTGTATGCTGGTAACTTTCTTAAAAAAAAATTTATAATTTTTGAAATTTTTGTTGGTTTTTACAAGTTGGTGAAATTGCATATTTTTTAGTAAAATAGTAATTTATTTGGATTTTACGCATAATTTTCAAAAACTTTGTATAAAGAAATTTTTTTCCTAAGTCCAGCCGTTCTCAAGTTAATGCAATTTAAAAAAAAAAAATTATGATAATTTTCTACATTTTGGGTCATTTTCAAATGTTAGTCGTGATGTCCAGCAACGAGATGTTTTTCCATGAATATATATTAAAAAACAGACAATTCATTCTCAAATATGGTAGCTGTCAGACTTACCCGTTTCTATTTAGACGCAGCGGAAAAGAAACAAGTTTATAAGTAAATACTCTCAAATATACCCAAATAATCAACAAACCCACTCATGTGCCTTTTTTCTGTCCTCTATTAGTTGTTTACCTGTATAGAATTGTGTATGTCATAACAGAGGCTCAAAACATAAACAGGTAAACAAATATGTTATTAAACCTGTAATTGAGGTAAATTATCTAGGTACTTCTCTGACGTATACCATATTGTGCCTTAAGAGCTCATCCCGCGATATCACAACTACATAAAAAAGCACCCCGTGGAGGCTTCTTACACTCACACCTAAAAAAGTTTGCTATAATCAATTGTACCTAATGAAGATAGGTATAATGTCAACATTGTAATTATTCTGCTACATATATATATATATATATTGGGACGATCTTCACCTGTTCCATTCAGTTCATCTCTCTTAGCGTTTCAAGTTAAAAAGCAAGTAGTTTTTTACGATGGATAACAATTTCAAGTGTTGTAAACCTCTACCTAAATCAAATTCAAAGCATGACACAGTAGCAGTTCAGTTGTTTATCTCAAAATTATTAGAATTTTTAAAGTTGCAAATAACAGTCCAAAAGTGTATTTTTATGTCAGATGTAGATGTAGATGTAGAAATTGAATGGCATTTTTTTGCAACTTCACACGGCAAAGGTCCTTGTGATGCGATTGGCGGTACCCTTAAGAGAATGGCAACCAGAGCAAGTTTAGCTAAGCAACACGAGCACCCTATAACGAACCCTAAACAACTGTACGACTGGGCAAATAGTCGTAAAGAAGATCTTCAAACAAAAATGTCATTTTGTTATATTTCTACGGAAGAATACAAAAAGGCTGACACGGAATTTGATCCAATTTTTAAGAAAGTGAAACCAATTCCTGGAACTCGAAAATATCATTGCTATATTACAGTTTCAAACAACCAAATTGCAGTAAAAATATTCTCTAATTCAAACGATACACCCAAATTATTCAATGTATTCAAATAATATGAGTTGTAAAATAAAATAATAAATATATACTGTTTTTTATCTCAACCAATCTTTCATTTGACCACATCAACGTGCTTCTCTTCCGCTGCCTCTAGATAGAAACGGGTAAGTCTGACAGCTACCATATCTGAGAATGAATTGTTTGTTTTTTAATATACAATCATGAAATAAAATCTCGTTGCTAGACATCTCGACGAACATTTGAAAATGGCCTAAAATGTTGAAAATTGTTATAATTATATTTTTTTAATTCGCATTAACTTGATAACGGCTGGACTTAGGAAAAAAGTTTTTATATGCAAAGTTATTGTAAATTATGCGTAGAGTCCAAATAAATTATTATTTTTCAAAAAAATATGCATTTTCATCAACTTGTAAAAATCAACAAAAATTTAAAAAACTATAGATTTCTTTTTAAGGAAGTTACCAGCATACACTTTTCACGAAATTTAAGGGTATTCCATCAATTTTCTTGAAAAAAAAAATTATGAAGATCGAAGGGGGGGTGTTTTGAGATAATCATCGTTTTACGTTTTTTAAATACTAATTTACTAAGTTTTTCTTTCAGTGTATTTTTTTTCGCAAAGATAATTTAACTACCTAAAACTTTTTCTCATATGCCATTTTGATCAGATCAATAATTTTCAAGTTATGATTTTTTGAAAAAAAAATAATCCATTTTTTTATACGCCCTTTTCAAAAGTTACTCTGGAGGAAAAAATCATATTTAAATGAAAAATTCAACCATTAGTAGCAGCGAACACGTGAGCAATGTTTCATTCAAATCAGAAGGGGTCGAGACAAAATTGACATTTTTTTTAACGATTTGAGCTAGAAATGCTCTATCGTTAACATGGTCTAAGGCATTAATCACTAAGGTCTCATGATCGGTTATCCGTAACTGAACAAATGGAATCAAAATTGGAATAAACGTGATCAATTAAAGTTCTACTGTGCCTGGAAATACGCGTATATTCATTTACTGTTTGCTTTAAATTAAAAAACTCAGCTAAACACTTCAAATGATTCGAATTATGGTTATCACGCCAATTAACATTAAAATCACCAGCCAATACATTTAATTTACTACGGTTAATATAGGGTATACAAACTTTATATTAGCTGTAGCTGGGGGTAGCTGTTCCTCTACAAAATAGCACATCGTAAGTATAGTTCCGCCGTTGGATAATCACTTCGGTTTTCAAGTTTCTTATTTTATTACCACTACGGCACCAAAATACACTCTGAGAGTTGATGCGAAGCAAACACTGATGCAGTAACCACTATAAAACGGCGATGTAAGAAATGCTTTGCTAAGGTGCTAAAACCAGACTCAAGCAGCGTCTGGCTGGCATCCACAGGTTGGATAAGTATTGCTTATCCTCGAAAGCAACATCAATGATGGAAATCTCATTACGGCGGGCAGGATACATCAATCACCTTCAGCCTCCGTAAATTACAAATTGTCACGGAAACCAATAAGGAATATCGGTTGATAAACGATTATCCCCTATCCTATTTTAATAGCTATTATAAGTATTAGATGCGTAACAAAATGATTTTAAAATTATGCTATCAAATAGGTAAACCTTTTTTGGCAGTGATATCTCAAACTCAACCAACACGATCCAAATTTCCACCAAATCTGACGTGTACATGACCGTTTTCCTGCTTTCTTTATTCATTAGTATATATATAGTATATCAGTATATATTCGTTATCGTGTAACGTGACAATAATAATGACCAGAATGAAAAAAACGTAAACAAACTGCAATGGAATAAACCATAAAACACATCGACGTCATGCGTTCGGACGCGGATTGCACTGTCCCTTTTCACATATAGCTACATGTTTAGAACTATGGCTATTGGTTTTAGCGTTAAGATTAGCGTTGCTGCTGCTATGCATATTATTGTATTTCGGATTAATATTCTTGATCGTTCCGCCTGACATGCTGATAGCACCGCCACCATTTCCGTATCGAACTCCACCGTCACCGCGACCTCCTCCTCCTCCTCCTCCTCCACTCCCACCTCCACGATCGTACTCTCGATGACCACTAGGCGGCTGACCACTACCAATGCCTCCGGAACCGCTATCGGCGGAACCACCCAAACCAGTTCTATCACTATTCTTATTGTTGAAGTAGTTGAAAGTATCATACGGATTGAAGCTATCGGGTATACCGCCATTGTCGTTGATGCTGGTGATTTGATTACCGTCCACAAAATTGAGCGATAATGGTGAAGGAAACAGGTAGAACGTAAGGAACATAAAGCCGTATAGCACGAAATGAAGCACGAAACAAGTCCAGATTAGGTTGATCTGCGATTAAGAATTGATATTAGAAAATTCCAATGTGTATATGGGTAATATTCATACCTTTCTTTTCCTACTATACTTCCTCACATTGAGGTACGGTGTGAGGGCAAGCGTGAACGTCGTTCCGAAGATCAGTCCCGACACCAGTCCGGTGAAGTTTTGCTGCCATTGTATCATCCCCATACCGAATACTAGAACTCCTACGATGAGTACTTTGAGCAAAGCTAAATGGGGTCGCTTCAAATTACGCCAATGGCACAGGATTAGTAGCGTCAGGAGCGATGAGATCGTCCCCGCTAGCGATGGCAGTGGTCCAACCTAGAACGAAGATCAGTATATGCCACCGATGAGTCAACTAGACATGGTCACATCAGGAGACGTTACCTCTGGACGGTACGGTACGAAAATTGCACTCGTTAGGTTGCCGGCTATGCCAGAACCGATGTACAGGATCGCCGTCCGCAGAGATCCCAACAGTCGCTCCAAATCCGCTAGGAGAATGTGCTGGAAGGCAAGGGTAAGCAATATATGCAAAATACCTGCGTGAAGGTACAGTGACGTGAACAGCCTATAGAACTGATCTGGCAAGTCAGTAGCGATGAACGGAAACATTCCACACACATCGTTCAGACAAGAAACCTATCGATGAAAAATAAAAAGGTGATTGAGGATCCGCACAAAATCTACTCTTCTGGAAGACAGCCTTACCTGTGAACACAGCGAGGCTTCTTCGTGAAAATATCCCCGCACGAAATCACAATACTCCCGAGTGGTGATTCTACACTCGCCTGTAATGCCCATACAGCACGGATGTCCGATCACTTCACACACCATGTGTTCGGCGGTGTGGTCTTTCATGCGGAACTTTGGAGAAGCTTGATTATTCTTCCTACAGATTGGCCACTTAGTAATGTCATCCGGCCACTCGTGTGGTGCAACCGAAGCCGGAGCTTCACAGTACTTAGGATCTAGGCCGCAAACGCTTCCGGATATCCGACCGCCGGGTCCTGAATCTCCCGGAGACCACTTCTTCCACGTTGAAATGGTCTGGAATAGATCGAATTCTCAAGTATAGTTGCCTTGGAAGCAAACAACCCCACTCTAACTCACCGTTGGCCACAGTCCACGGACGGAGCAGTCAGCTTGCGAGCTTTGAACACATCCGGAGTCATCGTTTCGTATACAGCACGCCGTTTCTCGTTCTTGCTTACGTGTTTTCGATATCAATTCCATTATCTTCGTATCTCTTCTCATGCACGGTGCATACTTTGCCCCCACGTGAACCAAATCGTCCCTTCTCGGTCCAATCCAGATATTCTGTTGCTCGTAGTGAGTCACCTAGAATAGAACATTTCAATAAGTAATTACTATAATAAAGTTTGCACTCAGTACTCACCATTTGTAAGCTCAAGCTAGTCACAAGAACCTGACTGCTTTTCGGTTCGTACCCCGTTCCTATCGGTCCTATTCCATAGCACAAAAGTGTCAGGAGCAGTACCAATATTTGGGTAGCGTTCACCCAGTACGTGAAGAACGGTCGATAATCGTAACGGTCATCCAGAGATTCTGGCCTCAGAAGCTTAATGCTGTGGCTTGATGGTCGTCTGGAGTTATCCAATACACTATCCAAAATGTGGGCCGTAATCCTTGAACCGTAGTACTGATATAAAGCATTCCTTCCACGAACCGGGCGTTGCTGTTGAATCTGAATTTCCGCAGATTTTGTTATCCATCCATTGCTAACCACAGCCCGGTTTGGATCGATCATGTAAATCTGCCGCGAGCCATCAGCTCCCAGATCATGCTCAATCTGTTGCTGGTTACTTAATGTTGGAATGTCAAAAAATAGCTCGTCATCCTGTATCGGAGTCAGTCCATCGCACAAGTCGTTATCGTCATTGTTCAAAGCGACGTGTGCAGGGGCAAAGCTTCTAGACCACTGCTTCTGTCTCCTTGGAATACGATTTCTCAAGCTCTGCACTACAAAGACAAACCCATTTGCGATCATTTGCGAAACCGATGGCTTTCTTTCGACTTGAAAGCCATCACTGCCATCGTGTCTGTAGTAAGGATTGAATCGCTGACGTCGATTCTGTTCCGTTTCCGGCTCATCTTGACTTTGTGCAGGCAGAATATCTGGCCGATCACTTTGTTCGTTCAACACATCAGCATGCACTTCATTCACTCTTCCCACCACGACATCCTCTTTCAACGGGCCAAACCGTCGGATCGCCAATCGCTTCTGACGATCTTCCCACTTCTGTTGTTCGTAATCTTCGTTCAACTGATCTACTCCGAAGAATTGCGAAGTACTTCGCCGTAGATACTCCTTTATGCGTTGCTTGTGCGATAGTCGAGCTCGCATCTGCGGTTGAGTGTTGCGTTGCAGTGTAGACGGAGTTGAATCTGGCTGAAGTCTAGGCGTAGGAATCTGCTGCAGCGGAAGTGATTGTTGCTGTTGCTGTACATGATGTTGTTGTAGTTGCTGTAGCTGTTGATAGAGAGGTTGCTGTTGGATCTGCTGATGCTGAATGTGCTGCTGTTGGTACTGGATAATAATAGATGGGTTGTTGCAGGAGCTGTTGAGCGTGTGTGATTGGGAAATTATAAGGGATGATGCATTGCGGCCATCATCTCCCGGAGCTACCAGAGGATGCTGATGGGAATAGGATGTATGCGATACAAGCGACGGTGGGTTCAACGGGGATTGGCGTTCCATTTCGGACATCGATACCGATGAAATAGACAGTGGTTGGGGACTAATTGGACCGGACGTTTGAGTGGTTTGGTGGACTCCAGTGGCTCTACGAAGACTACTACAGTGGTAGCAGTTTTCTTCATCGGTAGGGTTCGTATTTATGGGTTCACTCATTATACTTACAGGAGTCGGGGTGCGTAGCATGGAATAATCCGGTGCACCTGGACATAGCTGATGCTGTTGTCGGCCAAGTGTAGCAGATTGCGTAAACGTACAAAGCGGCTGTTGGCATTTGACGGGCCTAGCGCGAGGTGGTGTAGCGTAATGATCGGTCCCATCCTCAGCTAGATGTTGAACAGCCTGCACCTTGGGTTCTATCTTTAGGCGATAGGGAAGGGTACTGACGACGGGCGCCCTCGGTGCTGATTGGTTTATGATGTTGATTCCTCCCTTCGATGCTATCAGTCCGGCCATCAATGTTGGACCTAAACCCATGTCTTGCTGATAGTTTTCCGACGGCGGTGGCGTTGGAATGTAACGCTTAACAGGTGTATGTACAGTGGAGGTCAAATAATTGTAGCTTTCCGAACTGGTCATCAAAGGAGGATTATTAATTAAGTAATTTCCAAATTGATCAGTTTTGGGTGCCGGAGGATCACGAAACCGTTCTGGGACAGGGTAGCGACTCCTAGAGCTAGGAGACATTGAACGATGATGGGGTGCATTTCTGTTATCAGGATACGCGATAATAGATGTGGGAGCCGAACTGGTGGAATATCGATCGCTCGACGGTAGTGCTGCCGAAGAGGATGGTGGTGGCATACAACAGGGTCGCAGATTTTCATCATTTCGATAACACTCGCCACTGGGAGGGGATACAAAAGCCGTCAAACGAGTTCCCAGGTTTGAATAGGATGATTCGCTGAATCTCGAAGGAGATGGAGCACCATTCTGGGGCACGCTGGCTCCATTATCACATAACCCGTCGCCGTAGTTGATGGTCGAGGTAACTGTGAACTGCTGCTGATAGTGGCTATGCCCAAACGAAGAACGACGACTTCTGCTCATTTCAATCCTCACTTGGAATAATTATACTACTTATACATCAGCGAAAATTTCGTTTATCCTACACATCTAATCACACCATTTACTAAAAATTCACTAATTTCTTCAGCTCGTAACTTTTTACTAATTCGAAGCAAAATCATTTTCCAAAATGGCTGAGCTCACTAAAATAAACACACCCCAGTACGGATTGGGAGCTGTGGAAAATTTTCACTACTTTCATTATGGTACCCGTGTCGAAACTAACTTTACGGTCATTTCCCTGTACCGAGTTGCCGGGGATTTGTCGATTGGTAACGGAAAATGAACTACTTATATCACAATTAGCCTAAATTCAGGAGATATGTGGAAAAGAACATAAATCTTGACGAATCCTTTTTTCTTCACGACGTCCTTCCTCTCGCGATTTTTCGCACTCACTCCGGAGCCAAAGCTTACCAGCAACAGCAGGCAGAAGCAGTTCACCAGTAATACCTATACCTACTGCCCTACCAACTCACACTTTGGGTGCCATCAAGGATCCGTGGGATGCTCTCAACCGAAGAACTCCATTATCATCATCGGGTTGGTAGCGTTGAAATTTGACATTGCCAGCTGCTGCTGAGAACCACAACAAGCCTGCCGTGTATACTTGCTTGGTCCTTGTTTTGGTTGTAAATAAAGGGAGGAAATGTGTGAGTTCCCCAACATAACAGATGGGGACCGTTGTGCGCATGGCACGTGGTGTGCGAGATACGCATGAAAACAAAAGACACATGATTCTGTTCGCCACGTAAAGAATGATTTTTCGCCCCAAGAAGGAGCAAAATGGCTGCGTTCGTGACAATTTACGCCATGATGTAGGCAAACAAGTGGTTGTGAGAGTTTGAATTTTATGCTATTCCAATAAGAATTTCAGCATGGTTTATTAAAGTTTATTCGACAGAATGTTTCCACTACTCTCAACCCCCTGAAACCACCATATTTACTACCCAAATGATCAGCATAATTACAAGACATTGACAAACGGCCTCGGTTGTAATCCACCTTCATTCGCAAACCTAAACCACAATCGAGTAGAGTAGAATTTTCCCTACCTGTTCATTATGTGGGTTTGCCTTTGCGGACTTCGGTTCGCGAGAAAATGGCCTTACAAGGTTTGTTTACAGAATGAAGTTAAGGCCATTTCAATTGTTGGTCTTGAGTTATTCAATGACGGTGCGTCTCCACCAAAGCTTCAACAAAACCCGTCCCGCTGATATGATTTGATTCCATGCTCTATTATTATCTACACACTTTTATTTTTTTTTGCCGAGATTGGCACCACCGAGCAGACTCGGAATTTATTTTTACTGAGATCTCAGCAAAATATATGTTTGTTTGATGAGATCTCGGCAAAATTCCCGTTTGTTAGCTGAATCTCGGCAAGTTTTCACTAAGATCCAGCTACATAAAATGCCGAACTGTTCGGTGGTGCCCATCTAAGTGTGTAGTGGAAGGAAAAGGGTACACACTTAATCTAGCTCGGTAAAATCTCCAAAAGCCGATTAACTCGGCATTCACTTTTGCAAAATTTCTGTTTGTTAGCTGATATCTCAGAAAATGTTATTTGTTAGCTGAGTCTCGGCAATTCTCGATTACTTTTTCAAAGGGACGTATCAGCTTTTTTTTTTTTTTTTTTAAATCTTTATTTTAGAGATTTTTAGCCTGAGGCTAGTTCATCTCTTAGTATCAGCTTTTGAAAACAATGCATTTGATCGTTGATTTGGCGTAACTGGTAGCTCGTACACGATTACTAACACCACTAGCAGGTAGGGGAAATTTTCCCTATCTGATGGTAGTGTTAGCATGCGTTGGCATGCTTCCAGTTACGCCAAATCGACGATCAAATGCATTGTTTACAAAAGCAGATACGTCTCTTTGAAAAAGTAATCGAGAATTGTTTTACTGAATCTCAGCAAAATAAATTGCAGAACTACTACTTTTCTTTTGGAATCTCGGCGAAAAAATTTAAGTTTGTAGATCTCTACATCGTCGTATTCGCTTTTTCCGTTCTATCGAGCAAGAAACATCAATAACGAAGCAAAGTGAAAATCTCGATTTTTCACCAGCGTGATAAAATTAATTTACAAAAATTTCACTGCGCTTGAAACTGTAGGGGAGAACAGTACATAACGCACCCCCGGTAAGACGCACTTTTTCATTTTATTTTGAGTTTTTCTTGGAATTTTTAATCCATTTCTAGGATTTATCGTGCAGGATTTTGAGTTCAGATGCTATGCTAGAAGTGCTGCTTGATAAGACAACAAAAAAGTTACGTAAAAACCATGAAAAACACAAATGAAAGTCAGCTGGTGCGTTCTGCCCAGGGGGTGCGTTGTATACCATTCTCCCCTATACAGTTGCGATCCGGTAAAATCAAATATTGTGCATAGCATCTTTTTCTTCTTCTTCTTCTTCGCATTTCAAGCTTAGTGCATATCGCATATTAGCTTATTGCGTGCTCTCAACTTAGTGTTCTAGAGGCACTTCCACAGTTATTAATTGAGAGCTTTCGATGCCTGTACCATTTTTGCATTGATATGATTGTGTGACAAGTCCAATCATACTTCTATGCCAAAGGAAGTCGAGAAATTTTCCAACCCGAAAAATTCCTAGACCGAACCGGGAATCGAACCCAGCCACCTCCAGCATGGTCTTGCTTTGTAGCTGCGCCTTTACCGACTGAGCTAAGGGAGGCCCCTTTTTCGCATTCGTTTATAAACTATACTATAAGTATACTTTTTCACGCAGGCAGGTGCTCGTGAAATAGATACATAGGGGAAATGGATGTAATGTCGGCCTAAATGCCGCTAATTTGGGCTCATACATAAATTTAGCAATATCCATAAGTACCGCCCCAATCACGCGTGCATCTAGATAAAATTGATAAATAGCAGATTTTTAGAGATGGGCCCAATCTAAGATCCATTGGCCAACTTTAGAGCCATTGCCCCTAGATAAGCGGAGGCACAAAAAGTTATTTTTGGCAACCATGAAAAATAAATGCTCTTAGAGGCTGTTCATTAACTACGTAGGCAATTTTTTGGGATTCTTGACCTTGGAAATTAATTTTACACGTGACGGAATCCATCTTTGACATAAAAGATGAGACGTAAACAAACATGTCATGTAATATTAATATTAAGTGCTCCGAGACTGAAAAGTTCGTTGCTCGACGAAAAGTACGTTTGATTGAGCTATATTTCGCGTCTGTTATGACTAAAATTTATGTCAAAATTGACGCTCGTACACGGTAAGAAAAAAGTACCCAACGGCCAGTTCACTTTTACCTAATTTTGACTAGTTTGTCTCATTTTCTCCTTCTAATGTTGTCAAAAAAGAAGGAGCAAAACCACCCAATAGGGGTAGTAAAGTGTGGGAACCCAACGTTGGGTATAATCATATTTACCTACTGTTGGGTACAACTAACTTACTTTTGGTTAAAAAGCTAGTGGAAAATTCCATACGAACTGCACACAAGTAAATCAAAATTACTTTGACCCGCTTTACCTACTTTTGGGTTCCTGCACTATAGTGCCGAGATGAGTGAAAAGAACTTAATTTTGGGTACTTTTTTCTAACCGTGTATATTTCACTCTCAGAGCACCTAAATTTACATGAATTTTTCTAAGTGTGTGCGTAGACAATTGTCCACTACACGGTTAGAAAAAAGTACCCAAAATTAAGTTCTTTTCACTCATCTCGGCACTATAGTGCAGAAACCCAAAAGTAGGTAAAGCGGGTCAATGTAATTTTCATTTACTTATGTGAAGTTCGTATGGAATTTTCCACTGGCTTTTTAACCAAAAGTAAGTTAGTTGTACCCAACAGTAGGTAAATATGACTATACTCAACGTTGGGTTCCCACACTTTACTACCCCTGTTGGGTGGTTTTGCTACTTCTTTTTTGACAACATTAGAAGGAGAAAATGAGACAAACTAGTCAAAAGTAGGTAAAAGTGAACTGGCCATTGGGTACTTTTTTCTTACCGTGTAGAATTTGTGCACTAGAATTTTCGCCTCCTGTTCTGCCACCACTGATATCGGTCAAAGCTCGTAATCCGGAAGATCTCCCGCCGTAGAGGAGAGATTGGCGAATTCGCACTCACTTCTAATGCCACTGCTGCTCCTGTCTTGGATAAAATTGTTGATAACTTCTGATATAAAGAACTTATGCCTTGCCTGCCAAACGATCGTAAAGTTCCTGTATTGCTGCTAATAACAAACTGAAAATGATAGCTGCAGCTCTGCTCGTGATCCAAGTTCATGAATACAGAAACGAAATAACGCTTATGAGTTCATAGTATCACGATATCATGAATTTAATTTGAGTTTTTTTTTATACACGCAGAAAAAAATACTTTAAACGTAATAATATTTGACGTAAAATTAATAAGAATTTCATTTTGTTTTGGCTGCAAAAAGAAATCATTATTATTTCAACAATCCAGTATCTTTGTTTCTAAAAACCCATGGATTGTTAAATCAAAAAGAAAATCTTTTCGAATTTACAAGAACTTTCATGGTTTTGACGTGAGCTGTCAAATTTGGCAGCTGGGTCAACAAAAAAAATATGTTTGTTTTTGAAAGAGATTTCTTGTTGATTCAATCATATTTATTTTATTAAGCCTGAAAATATACACAGTAGTAATAAAAATATGTTTATTGATTCAATGTTTTGTTTTCTTTTAGTATCAATCAAAATTAAGTTTGAATTAAAAAAAACTTTTCTGAGGCATAAAATCACTCCGGTTCATGAGTTGATGGGTCAATAGGTAGGGTCCAGGTGTGGGAGCTGCCTTCCTGGCGTCGACAGCATTGGTACTCAGTATGGAAAACAAGATCGACGGAAAATAAAAAAGAAAAACTGTTTATATTTTGCAACTGCAGCATACTTACTTACCTCAAGTCTCAAGATTTTCGGAAATCTTGCACTTATTTCCCGAAATTCACTGTTAAAAAAAATATTTACGTCGAACGCGAAAAAAACTGAATCAAACGAGAACAGTTTTGTGTTATTTGTTTACATTTTTGTCCGGGAACGAGGGAATGGATGGTAGTTATTTTTGCAATCATGGCCGGGGAACCGACCCAACAAATAAATGCTAAATTAAAATGAACTATGGTTGGCTCAATAAAAGAATATTGTTTTTTTTAGCAATAGTTGCAGTTGAAGAGTGGCTTATTAAAATAAAAAGAATCTTATTGTGAATTTATTTGAATAAGTATTATCAAAAAACTATAAAACGCAATATTATTTAAACCGGAAACAATTTTCTGTCCGTGTAGCGTTACGAATTTGCTGGTCGCGCAAACAGGCGTGAACAAGGTAAGTTCACGGATTTGGAGTTAGGTTCTTGAAAATAAGATCTACGTGATCACGTTTACGGGAACTAAGTCGTGAATTCATATAAACTAGCAGTTGTTATACTACTTCTTTAGTTGAAGCAAGAGCTGCCTCAGTACAAAAATACGAGGATAAATTCGATTCAATTATAATAGACGACGATCT